CTGTTGCTGCTTCTGCTGCTACTACGTTTACTGCTGCTACTACTGCTGCTGATACTGCTGCTACTACTACTACTGTTGCTGCTTCTGCTGCTACTACGTTTACTGCTGCTACTACTGCTGCTGATACTGCTGCTACTACTACTACTGTTGCTGCTTCTGCTGCTACTACGTTTACTGCTGCTACTACTGCTGCTGATACTGCTGCTACTACTACTACTGTTGCTGCTTCTGCTGCTACTACGTTTACTGCTGCTACTACTGCTGCTGATGCTGCTACTGCTACTACTACTGTTGCTGCTTCTGCTGCTACTACTGTTGCTGCTGCGACTGCTACTACTATTACTGCTGCTCCTACTGCTGGTACTGTTGCTGTTGCTGCTGCTGCTGCTACTGCTGCACTTGTTTTCTATGCAGCGAGCAAGCCTCGCGTTGTGATCCTATTCCTCGTTATAGGGCCTGTTTATTGGCACTTTGTATAGATGAGGAAAATGAATATTTTGCCGTTTTTGTGGTATTCAGCTCAAGTAATGTGTGTGTGTGGGTGTGTGTGTGTGTGTGTGTGTGTGTGTGTGTGTGTGTGTGTGTGTGTGTGTGTGTGTGTGTGTGTGTGTGTGTGTTACAGTGTGTGTGTGTGTGTGTGTGTGTGTGTGTGCGTGTGTGCGTGCAGATTTTTACACTTCTGGACGAAATGTTTTACATTTGTGGTTATTTTTACATTTGTGGTTATTTTGACATTTGCGGGAACAATGTTTTTACATTTGTGGTTATTTTTACATTTTTGGTAGATTTTGACATTTGTGGGCCCCCTAACACAGCAAACTCTGTAGGCGCAAGAGTTAAAAACCTGTAAATCTTTTAGTAACACGTATAGGAGTATACGGGTAATAGCTTGTTTAGTTAAGAAATATGTTTGAAGTTTAAACTAAACGTGGAACTCTCCCATGCACCCAGACCATGAAAAATGTATTTCCGTAAAAAATCCTTCATCTTTACAGAGGGCCGCACTGGTAATGTTCTTAGCAGTGGATCTTCCCACTAACTGTTTACCTAGCAGGTAGCTCGTCATGTCTATAAGCACTGCTCACAGAACGCGTTGCGATGTGCGTTATTCGTAGTTTACCAAGCATCGCGGCTAGTGAGGAGTCACTATGTCAGGCTGTCCTCACGAGCAGCTCCAAGCTCGTACCGCGACAGACGACGATGCCCACGTACCCAACACGTCACCAGCTGTTCCAGCGACAACTCAACATGGACATGGAGTTCTCAGTGTGTAACGTCAACCACAAGGACGCATCACGAGCGCATCTGTGTAACATAGGTGAGAGATAACACGTGTAACCTATAGGTAACATAGGTGAGAGATAACACGTGTAACCTATAGGTAACATAGGTGAGAGATAACATGTGTAACCTATAGGTAACATAGGTGAGAGATAACAGTGTAACCTAGGTAACATACGTGAGAGATAACAGTGTAACCTATAGGTAACATAGGTGAGAGATAACATGTGTAACCTATAGGTAACATAGGTGAAAGATAACATGTGTAACCTATAGGTAAGTTAGGTGAGAGATAACATGTGTTACCTATAGGTAACATAGGTGAGAGATAACATGTGTAACCTATAGGTAACATAGGTGAGAGATAACATGTGTAACCTATAGGTAACATAGGTGAGAGATAACAGTGTAACCTAGGTAACATAGGTGAGAGATAACATGTGTAACCTATAGGTAACATAGGTGA